AATTACTATTAATTTTTTATTGTTTTCTTAAAAACCCGCTCTATGGACCTTGCGATTAATTTGGGTAATTTTATCTCAATTTGGTGTGTGCTCTGGACTCTCTAACGGGGTTTATAAGAACTAAGATACCACATGTTTTTATTTAGATCATTTGCCGCATAGCGAAAATAATTTTAAGGGCACATTTGTTTTTTGTAGATGTTTTGATACATACATATGTACATATAAATTACCGTTGTAACATAAAAAGCACCGGCTTTGAGCCTCTAGCTGCTTACATACCACTTAATAATATGTAAGCCGCAAAGCAGATATCCAAATCTGCTACATTTTATTCATTTGTAGAACAAATATAACTGTACATATGGCTTATGTGTATATTTAAATTATTATTCCGCTTGTTTGTTTCACATGTTATGTATGTATGTAAATGCGCATATGGTGCCGCTGGTTTGTATAATACCGTTATAATACTAATAATAATCATTAGCAAAGCCGAAACGGCGCCCACGCCGCAACAAAGTACCGTTATTCCTTCGGTTGTCAGGTATTAGAACAGCCCATATGGGAATGTGACCACAATTGTATATGTATGTGTGTACGTTTGTTTGGTATGTTTTCAAGTAGAGTATATATTGTAAGTGGAGGAGAAATGGGAGAGAGTGGATGTGGCGTTGTAAAATTTGGATTATATATTAGCATAATATGTAAATAAACACGCTAATAAGTGAAATAAGAGCACTTGTGAACACAATACCCCAAGATTAGAATGCGGCAAAATTTTCCACGGACTCTACGACAATGCGGTGTTGTCAAGCAAACTTTTTTCATACGCGTTTTATACAAAGAAATTGCAGTAAAATAAGAAAGAAATGTAATTATGCTTCAGTATTTGTAACTGTGAAGACAAAGCTATGACAACTTTTGGAATGTTCTTAAATATTATCAGAACTAAGACAATCCAATCAATAGATTTATGATATGAAGTAATGCAACCTACACATAAAAACCTAAGTTAAAGCGCAGTACGAAAAGATGCTTCAGTGGATGTAAACGAATGCGTCTCCAAATTGTTTTATTTGGAATGAAGTTCAGAATTCTGCATTTATGTAGAGAATGACTCTTATGCAACGAAATTGCAAATATAATGCTCTCAAAATCAACCAAAGTATCGACATGGATTAAAAAGTTTTTCTATCTGCCCGAGAGCAATCCAACACTCCATCGGAAATTCCAGGCAAACTATGTACTTCATTAACCAAAAGAAAACCTACATTAGCTCGGCATAGCATAACAGTAAGACTGAAGTAAGTGCTATCCTCTCAATTATGGTAAAATTTAAGAAAGTTCATTATAAAAATTACCACATTTTAAGGACACATCTTAAGTAATAGCTGAAGGCTGGCCAACTTTGTCTGAAACCGGAGCATATTTGTCAGTAGTACAATATCCATGTAGAAGAATAGCTTTCTAGATTACTTAACTAGCAAAATAGGTGAGCTATTTTTTATAGTCATCCGGATACTAAACATTGACTAAGAAAAGTATAACTAAAAGTTTGTACCATTTGCCCGTCTGAAGCTAAGAAATCTTTCCATCTTTCTGGTAATTTGTGAATTCCATCGCAAACGAACTGCGCCGACGTTGCGCACCAAGAATTAACCAAGCCAATTTTTGATACCCTGTTCTGATGGAAACCATATTCTATTGTAGTTAATGTGTCCAGAGCAAACGATAGTCAGAAGGTCTGGCCTTTAAAGTGGGTGAGGCAAAACTTCTCAGCCGTTGTTTTCCAAATACTTTTTAACCGGTATTGCAACATGAAGCCGTGCGTTGCCATGAAAGACATTTTTTGACTTGTTACTAGTCGCAAATTCCGGGCGTTTTTCGACAATAGCTCGCTTCAATTAAACGACGGGTTGTTGGCTGCGTTCCCCTTTAATGGTTTCACTCGGTTTTAGAACTCATAATACGGCACGCCCTATGATGTCAGCAAATATAGAGCTTACAGTGTCGTAATGCATATTCGGCTTTACCGTAGATTTAACTGAATTCACATATGATTTTTTGCATTGAGAATTGTCGTAATTGATCAATTTTTCATCACCAGTCATAATCTTATGCAAAAATTTCTCCTTTTTGTAGCTTTAGAAAATCATTTCTGACATGCAAAATCGTCTTTCAAAGTATCTTGGCTTCAGTGTTTTGAATGTTACCGGCTGCCTTTAAACATTTTAAAAGGTCTGCTTAAGTGACTTCCAAAGATTTTGCGAGCTCATCTTGTATTTTAAAGCAATCTTTATCGAGTAATACTGCCAGCTACACATCTTCAAAGCTTTTTTGGCTTCCCCGGACATTCTTCGTCTTTCAAGCCAAAATCACCACTTTTAAATCGTACAAACCACTCTTAGCGCGTTCGTTCTGCTAAAGCATATTAACCTTAAACTTCCACCAAAATATGAAGACTTTCAGCTGAAGTTTACTTTATATTAAAGTAACCAAAAAGACTCAAAACACTTTTTCATTCACAAAGTTCGATATATTTGAGTAAAAAACAAATTATTGTTGTTAACGCTTCCAATAAATAACATATGAATACGGAAAAAGACCCACAAGGACAGTAGCATTCTAGGGCATGTTTGGAGTATTGTGGCAAAGGATATATAGATATTGACTCAAGGGCGAGACACCAATCATGGTGAGATTCCTACTTTCCTACACCATACTTCGATCTTCAAACGTTTCAGCGTTATGTAATAAAGGCAGTGGATGTTTTTTTTTCTAGATGTCAATGAATAATACGATATAGAGTCCACAACTTTCCCAGCTGCCTGTTTCATCTTTCCATGCGCAGAATCATCAATTTGTTAGTCGAAGACCCTTTTAAATATATACATATTTATAAATGGTCAGCATGACGATCTTAATCGATTTAGCCATGTCCGTCTGTCTCTGTACACGCAAACTAATCCCACAGCTTTTGAGATGTTGATTCACACCCACGTTTTTTCCTCCCCAATATGCTACTCATTTGTTGAAACCACCGATACTAGACAACAATAGTATATAGCTCCCATACTAACTGAAAGATCGGAATCAAGTTCTTGAATGAAAACTTCTTTATTTGTGAAGGTATTCTAGCTTCGGTGCAACCGAATTTAACGTTTTTTCTTGTTTTAACGACTGACAATAAACTCTATAAACCTGATAGCGATATAATTTCTTGCTTCTTCGCTTCAAAACTACAAAACTAACTGGTAAGAGCAAAGAAAGAGTGAGGCAACACTTTTCGTTCGTCGAGAGCACTTAAGATTAGTTCATGCTTCGAATTAAAGCCAACATTTATAGCAAAAGTTCCGAAGTCATTGAAAGTTTGATATAAACATAGCACATTTATACAAATATAAACTCTTCTATTGTGTTTGTAATCTTTATTTTATTATTTATTTGTCCATTAAACTTTACATGTGTTCAGAGTTTCTTTACAAAAGTTTACAAAAGCTCCATTTAGTAAAATAACAACTTAGTTTAAATGCTTTTAAAGATATAGTCAATTTTGTCAGCAGACCACACTACTTAGCAAATATACATATCCCTTAGTTCTTTACATTTTTTTAAATTCTATTTAGTAAATGTTTTTTTTATTTTATTTCAAATGAAACGTATATATTTGTTTATTTTCTCCGCATCCGCAACTTAACTATGTCTTTACTGTTATTATATTATATTAGCATTCATGGGTTGTTATATATTTCTAACTTAGACCTAGCAGTCAGCTAAACATTTATTACTATTATTTCTTATTAATTTCTTTACTTATAAATACAACATCCAAGTAACAACTTTTATTTATGAAAAAAATATCTATTTGCTTCAACTATTTAGAAATAATTTATAAATAGTTTTATAAATGCATAGAAAAACAAGTAATTTATACAAATGCATCCTTTACCGAACTCTTCTCTAAGAAGTTTATTCTTTTTGCAGAAATTGGCAGTTTGAATTGAAATTATTGTGTAGGAATTATATGAGGTATTTCTCTCTCCGCTCTTTCATGCAAATATTTGCCAACATAACTAAATTAACTTCATTCAAATAGAAATAATTCAATATAAAATTGTTCAAAAATTCAAATATAAATAAAACGGCATTTCAAGTCCAAATTACAAAATAACTGTACTGTACCGCAAAAGTTTTCATTCGTACGCATTGAATATCTGATTTTTTTTAACTTATTCATATGGTGTTTCAATAGTTCTACAACAAAAAGGAAGGTTAAATAAATGCTTACACACATATTTATGAATGTACATATGTATTTATGTAAGAAAATTTGAAATAACATTTGTTCTGGCGTAAAAAGAACTTAACAAACAAATGAACATTTTCTGCACAACAATAGTGCTAATATAACCTAACATATATCGTACATATAACATATTATATATTCCATGATGATATACATTTGTTTATATACATTAGGGTTTCCGTTATCTCTCTCTTATATTCAATTTAAACCGTGTCTAAACTAGTTTACTTTTCCCATATATTTCATAAGGAATTTGTTGATCCTTTGTAATAAAGTTGTTATCTCCAAAGCAAATAAGCCTACAACTTTGAAAAAGTTATATTCCAATACAATGATTAAATATCTTAAGGAGATTTTACACAAAAACATTCCTCTAAAAGTTATTAACAGTTAAAGTCATGCATCAAATGTACTGTATTCTATAGTACACCATGTCGTATGAGCAACAAAGAGTGTATAAATCACTTGTATGAGTGCCACGGTGTTTTGATATTATAGTATGACTTTAATTGCGTATAGCTTTTAAAGGAGTGGTGTTGTGGTAAAACTCATTTTTTCTAGAGCGAAAAATTTTGTACTAGAATATCATTTTTTCCCAGATGTACATTTACTTTTTTAATACAAAAAATCAAAAAAACCACGTTATATTTACATGAGAAAAGAAATATGATGTAGGCACGGTTTAAATTGATAATAAAGGCCTTGTTTAAGTTGGTTAATTTTTTAGGGCAAAAACTGAGACTTCAGGGGCCTTTGTAAAAACAAAAAAAAAACTTAGACATATAAATCATGATATTTAATAAAATATTTCAAGCAAAGTATATATCTTAACCATATATATTACATTATACCATATTCCATTTACATATATCGATACATGGCTTGCTCGACACTATATGAATATAATGGTTTACATTAGGGTTATCCTTATATTTAAAAGTTCTCTTTACAACGCGTGTGTTTTCGCTTAGCATAAGTATCAAGAGTTTCTAGACTATAGTCTAAAAATAATTGCTTTTGTTTTTTTGCTTACATTAGGGATGTTCTCTGTTTTAATAATTTAACTCAATTGTATCAACTTATAATTAACAGCAATGATACTTACAATATTGGTCATATTATTAAAAATATTTTTTCACTAAAAATATGAAAATGAAAGTTAAACTAAACTGAATTTAACCTCACTTATTAGCAGTAAAAACTATTTCATAGAACTTCTTGACTATATTATGGCTATAAGCTGCTTTATGGGTGTACTTATGATTTATTTTTAACTTCAATATATACCTTATTATTGTATTAAATAGTTATTATTCTACTGAAATAATATGCTTAAAATTGGAAATGTTAAAATTAACAATAAACATTTTTTTTTGTTTCTATAGATTGTAGATATAAATTTTACCTAATTTTTTATTATTTTTATTGTTAAAAACTGTTACAGGTTATGTGAGCTTACCTTGAAACAAATAAGATTTTTGTTTTATTAATTTAAAGTAATGAAACTAATTATAGCGTGATATATAATATTATAATTAAAGAAAATTTCACATCAGTAATTCGTTATTGTTAGTTAATTTTTTTTATTGGCATTACAAAAAGTCTTCACTTGGAACATCTTACAAGATTACGCGAATAACTTAAAACTATTTTTAAATCATATTAAGTGGGAAAAAGTTAGACACAAACAATAAACTACATGCTTATATAAATTGATAATGAATACAAACTTTCACGGCGAAGGCTCCCATAAAAGGACATTGATGACAAGTGAACTTTTCCAATTACGAAAGCGTTCAGTGTATGAAACTTATTCGAAAAGATAATGCTAAAAAAGTGCAAATATTATTAAAAAAAAACTTATAATTCAGAAATTACACATGTTTTGAATTTGAATGAAACTAAAAATTTAACTTCCATTAAAAAATAAAAAAGCAAAAACAAAAACGTGTATAATAAAAATATGAGTACAATGAGGGCACAGAAACAGATATAAAGTAAATAGGAGAAACATAAATTATATGCGTTACGCTTATAAATAACGGCGATTTACACGCTGCTGCGGTGACATCAATATCGAATCGCCATAAACTTGTGTATCAATTCCAGACGATAAACCGTTTGAACTATTGGGGCTTCGCCGTTGACCTGCAATAAAGATGTTCGAGTACATTAATGTACATGTGTGTGTGTGTGTATGTGTAAGAAGTGTACTACACTACATATAAATATAAATTTACTTGACTTGTTTTCAAAAGTTTGCAATTGAAATGCATGCACTTACCATAATAGGGTGACAGATTGGGATACATCTGAGTCGTCGGACTGCCTTGCGAAGCTGGTGTGGTCGGTGTGCTGGTATTGCGCGACTTATTCTTCATGGAGGTGGAGAAAACTATTGAGAAGAGAGAGAGAAAGTTTTGTTAGTGATATAATTTTTTTGTTTTTGTAGATAAAACAAATGTAATAAGTGAAAATTAATGTATGAGTATATATATATAAGTTCGGCACTTCGCTGCTCACTATCGTGGAGCGCTACTTTCTTCTCAAAAAATTATATATTAAAGTAACAACAAAGCTATGTTGAATGCAAAATAATGGAATATGAACAAACCAACTAAAATACTTGATATTCTGTCTCTAATATTTTGCTAGTCAATTACTTATTATGCCAGCCTATTTGGTTTATACCAGTTGTTTGTTCGATTCGCCACTCTTTCTTGACTCTTCCCGTATGTCACTTACCATCTGACTAGTTCTGTATTCAGATTGAAAGAGTTAACATATGTTGTTAGATGCAAAGAAATAGAAATTTGAAAAGCTCTCACCAATGAGTTGGAATATATCCCGCTATAGTTGAGTTTCTGTACTAACTAACTGATACTAGAAAACAGTCAAATATATTCTTAAATTATAGATGCGGAACTAAAGTTAAGGCAGGTGTAGGCGATAACTTTTTGTGTGCAATATCTCTCTATATTTCCGCTTCATCTTCCAAGCGGATATCCAAAAAAAGAACGCTGGAGCCACTAACAACATCAACCGCCCCTTAAAGGACTATCTCTCTAGGCGGAATCGAAATATCAGATGAACTGGCAAAGGCTGGATCACCTCTTGAAGTATCTGATGCGGAAACACTACCGTATTCTTTCGGAAATAGTGAAACTATTCGAATTTTAAGCAGAACAACTAGGATGATATAGGAATCTGTAAACATTCAAGCATATCTCAACCAATTATGTCGAGTACAGAACAGAAGGCCAGTGAACACAAGCCTCAGATTTTAAAATCTTTGTCACAGTTTCTCGACAACATCAACTGATCAAAGACTAATCGTAGCAATTTGAGAAAAAAAAAATATATGATAGGCGAGTATGAGTGTCAAATCTTGGACAGCACGCTTATCCACTAAATACCCATCTTAGATATGAACTAGATACCCTTTTGTGCTATCAGACTCGATAAATTTTGATTTAAGATTTTGGATAAAACAGTTCTGTCAATAACAAGATTGGATACAACAGAGATATTAGTGTACCAGATGTTAAACGAGTTCAGTTTGCAATATGATCCGTGATCTAACAAAAACTAACCTATATTTAACAAATATAAATTCACAATCAGATCTACGTAACCGGAAAACCCCAAAATTTTTAAACGCCCAAGCACTATCAAATCTTTAGTATTTTCTAATATTATTTGTTAAATGTTTTCTGCCGCTACAACAACAACAACTAAAGAATAATTAAAAAATTTAAAACCTCTCTCGATAAAACGAAACTCTCTAGCCTTTATGAGTCACTCCCTCTAATCGCTTACCACTGGACTATATAACTTCTATACAGTTATTTTGACATGTCTAAACTATTCATCTCATCATTTATTAATATATTTTATAGGGTTTCCGAAATTTCCTTCCGGATGTTACAAACCTCGTAGTAAACTTAATATACCATGTTCAGGATGTCAAACACTTCCACATAATAAGACCTTATGGAGGGAATAACTCCAATAAGTGAAGGCTTTTAAAAATCTGAAAATTGAAATAAAATCACGAAAACTTCCACGAACTTTAACTCTTCAGTGTTCTAAAATTTTTTTTCCACCAAATCTACAATTTATATGGTACCGATCTCCATAAAAATTAAATTTATTATAACTTAAAAACTTTTTAAAATTCCTTTCAATTCACCGCAGGAGTTTGCCAAAGAGGCAGCTCTTAACGGTAAGCAGTTAAACATTTTCGCGCTACGAAAATTAAGTGTTCAACCCCCGTCAAACTCATATTTTATTGCTTTATTTATTAGCGATTTTTTCCATGCTTTCAACGGCTTAAAAGTGCCATAAAAAATAATCAGCGTCTATATGTAAATTAATTTGCAGAAATTTTGGTAAATTAATCAGGAAACTTTTTCAACTTCTTCAGCCCCGGATGTGAATGACATGGAGATGGCCATAGAAGCCAAAATCCGTGGAAGAAACTTTTCCGAGTGTCACACAAATTTATAGCCAACAGAGAAATCGAGTCAAATGAAAGAGTAGAGAAGAAGAAAATCAAATAAGCAAAAATTCATTTCTAAAATATGTTTAAGAGCAATTATGAACATAATTACAAAAATAAAAATGCGCGGCACAAACTTGACTAGAAATTTAAAACAGAAGGCAAAATATAATGAAATATCAAATAGAAAGCTGTGAATATTAAATTCAAGAAAAAATTAAATATTTCGAAAGATCTTCATTTTAAAACCGGGCTACAACTTTTGGATTTTAATCATCGATTTAGCGGCGATTTTTGGTTTAGATCGAAATATTATGGTGTATTGTTTGTCAGAAACCTCTACTAGACTTTCTCTAAGGGGCTGAGCAGAAAGCACGGCTGATGTATAAAGAGTATAGACTAAGAATTACCGGCCTAATAAAACGAAAATTTGTAGAGTTTATTGAAAAGCCAGTTCAACAACCATGACAACGATTAAAAGTAAAGCGATTTCTCTGTCAAAACCATTAATACAGGCAAAGATAATGATGTCTTTACCTTTCTGATTCTTTCATTGTGGTACTTCAATATATGTATGGAATAGATCATAACACGCTCACTAATCGACAAAGCGATTTGAGCCGATCACCAATTTGTTGAGACGGCGGCTAATGTCAGTTTTGGTTATGTCTCTTGGTTCGACGAAGGTAATACTGCCAAGGTGTTTCAACCTCAGTCCTTAAAATGTTGGAAGATGGAGGAGATCGTGCATGGATGTTTCCACCTCACACTCCTCCACACAACTTTTACCACTTACGTTCGACAAGATTATTAGCCTTACCGCTTGAATGCTTATAGGATAATGTCCAGTAAGCACCCCTACGATTGCGGCAAGATGAACTTTGCTTCTGTTAGTCATAAATGTATCTATCATTGGCGATATTTGAAACCTCGATAATCGGGAACAAGGCAGTCTAAAATCGATGATAATGTAAAAATACAATCGATATAGCTTCCTCTAAGGCCAACAAAGCAGACATACTGCTGACGCAAACTATTCACGCATACATTCACGGTACGCAGAAAGGGTTCAAATTATTATGAAAACATTGCAAGCATTTTTGGTAGTTGTCGGAAAGCAGAGACCAAAAAAAAAACACCAAAAGCAAAACAGAAAACAACAAAACCAAAAGCAGCGGAGAAAAATACTTTTCGAATTCTTCTGCCACGCTAACGACGCTGCCGCATGTTGGCTGCAAGGCAGGCGACAACGGAAGCGCCTCGTATTGTTGTCATAGCAGCTTCCGTTGCGAGGGTCAGGTCCGGCTTCAGGCGACTACGGGCACAATAGAAGGCCCTTACGAGTGCGAAAATGGAAAAGCACAGAAGGTGTGCGGCAGTTTGATTGCGTAGATGTGTACTCGTATGGAAGTGTCTATGGTATGTGTGTGCTCGAGCAAGTGCTTCTAAATGTGTGTGTGTATGTGCGTTTCGGCGTGCCTGTGACCTACTTTCTGGGTTTTTTCTGCAAGAAAAAAGTAATTAAGGTAATTTTTTTATAATTGAGGCAATGAAAGTGCGCGAAAGCCTGCAGAGAAGATTAAGTGGCACGAGTGCAGCAGTTGAAACAACAAAAAAAAAATATCGGAAAAATAACGGAAAACTCAGCAGTAGCACGGCGACATTGGACAGCCAAAGTCAGCGTCGAAGGAATTTCAAAGGAAAAATTTACATAAAACGCAGCACACAACAAAAGGGATGTGGCAATTTAGCAACAACAAAAACAATAAATAAGTAATTACAAACAAAAAAAAAACACACAGACACACTGAAAGCCAATTCATTTAGCGCACAAATTCTGCTGTGGTTTTATGCGTTGCTATACAATGTGTTCGACTGCCAGCTCCTGACTTCAAAGCAGCAAAAGTCAGCGCCAGGCAACTCGCCGAGCACGCCGGCAGGCGTGGAAAAGTGGGAGGCAAGCAATCAGCTATAGTAGGCAGCTGGGCGTGCACTGCACTTGTTGCCGTTTTACTGCGCCGAGCTGAGCTCAGCTGAACTTAAACACGCTCTAATACACAGCTATGCGCGCGCTCAACTGTTCTATAGCAAATAACGGTATTTTTTTTTATTTTTACTATTCTTTTTTTTACTAGTTGTGCAGTTAAAAAAACTCGAATTCATCGCGCTTACACGAGTTGCGCAAATTTAACTTCAGCAACAAACAGTCGAGTGCAAAAGTGCAGCGCCATCAAGTGGAATGTGACAGTAAAATTCCTATTTCAATTTAGTCAAGTTACTTTTTAGGTCAATTTTGGCGCAAATTAGGCTTTCAAGGTAGACAAAGCGTGGGCAAAATAAATACTCGCGCACAGATAGCGAGCGCTAGATAGTTGTAAAGTAAGTATGTAAATAGGAAAAAAATTTAAAAAAAAATAATAATAAATACAAAAAAGAACAGATAAAATAGTTTATTTAAAAACGTTGACTCTTCACAGTTGAGAAAATGCCAAAGCGCAAACTATTTTTTTTATCTTTTAGCTGACTATTTCGAAGGCATTGCAGCTTCTGAGTGGAATTAGTTTAATTAAGTACGATTTTAAGTAATTTTTGGTATAACGAATAGTTATAAACTGTTTATTATAAAAGAAACCAAGGCTAAAGAGATAGAAATTATTTAGGGTGCGGCTAATGGCTGTAGCAATCGTTAAAAGCATTGCTGCCTTCGTATTGAAATAATTTTAGTAGTTCTGCTCGTTGTAAAGGCCCCGCGATTTCGAAGGGTCACAAACAAAGCCTGCTGGACTTATTGTGCCCGAAGGTGAAACTTTTGAGGGTACCGACCCAACATTGTGCAAGACTTGGAAACCCACAATTGCATCCACATAGCTAAAGATTTCTGCTTGGCCTTCCAG